CCCCAAAATACTAGTCCAAAAGACACTGGTTACCCTAGAGTATTGAGGAAAACCTGCTAATGCAGAGTAGGAGTAAACTTTCATATTTAAGTCTAAATTGTGCCTTTTAGTATCAGAGAGTGCTTCCATTATCGTATTTTTAAAGCCTCATGCTTGCCATCTCACACTTGCAAACTATCTCCTTCCTAATTCCTTCAAAAACAATTGGTGAGAATAAAAAAGCTAGCTAGATTTGAAAGGGAAATGGTGATGCTAGAAGAAGAAACAGCACTTTACACTGTGAAGCATTCTTGTATCTGCATTCATATTTTAGACATTGTCATTTGCAACGATCCAAAACGGTATTTTGCAGTAGGTCCAGAACATACTGGACTAACTTAAAGTTATTTCTACAACATTTGCTATGTAGGAAGATGGTATAATCACTTTTCTAAATTATCTGTTATTTCATGGAATGACTGATGGGGTTAAAACTACGCAATGCAATGAATTCAACCCCACCTATCTGAAGGATTTCCCTTTGATAAAGCTGAAAAAACAAGCATCCTGAAGGGTGAAGGCATTTTTAAGATGAGAAAGTAAAAGAAAAGTAAAAGAAAGTAAAAGAAAAGGAGGAGCTGTGACAAAAACATCTCATACGTTCTATAATATAAAAATATATCTGAACAATCAAATTATCATCAGGATTTAAATCAAGAGCTTTTAATTTTTTATCATTATAAAAAGGTAACATAAGGTGAAACAGCTGTATTCACAAATCATTTAATACATTTGTTTTTTTTAAATACAGCAACTGGGAAGAACTTTGGATTTTTAAGAACTAGTTTTTCATCCACAAATGACACAGAATGAGAAGGAAGATGTAGGAGCCAATTATGTTTAGCAGTAGGGACAAAATTTCCATTAATAATATTGTTTAAAGTCAATCACACTAAAGTACTTGCATGGGAAAAGGAGCATAAGCCAAGCAGAGGTACGGATAGTACATCAGGCCTGATTGTTATAGTGTTGTTACAACAGCTTCAACACTATGTCGGATATGTTCCTACATATCCCATGCAGTCTATCCGCACAGCGAAAGCTAAATATGAAGTAATGTAATTTCATCTATCAAGTAAAAGATTCGAATCATGCTTTACAGTACAGATGTCGCAACGCGCGATTCTAGACAAGGAAAAAACCATTTTGTCCGCAGGAACACTCACTCTTTCAGTCCATATATCTCTTCTGGCAAAGTGCTCCAAAATACGAATTACATATTTTAAAAACTATAAAAACATAAGAAATATTTCCAGTGGCATTTTTATGATGTTAATTTATGAGGGTGCTTCTGACATAGAACAGCTACATTATTTTACTTTATATGTAATGGAAAGAGGGATAGAATTCACCTCCCAATAAAGGCATTAATTTTTTGGGTGTGATTCAGACATACCTGTGTTATGAGGTACTTCAGCTGGGGTGTTGGCTGGTGCATGGGCACCTGGCGGTATATGTATGCCAGTGTAATTACTAGATGGCATGTTACTAGCCTCATACGTAGATGAGGATGATGTTGGTTGAGTTGTTCCACTATGGAGAGAAGATGACCCTGGTTCTTCCCTTTCCACATCTGCTAAGATGACACAAAATAGGAATTAATGGAACTCTTCTGTACAAACACTTGAAAACTCAGGCTTTCTTTTAAAACATCCTTTCAAATTTTTGTTAGTAGAAAAATTGCCACCACAGCGCAACATAACATTTATCAACTCAAACCACCTACGGCTGATCTGGAAAAGTAAAAAAGCAACATAACATAAGATAAAGATCTATAAACTCACATACTTTCAAAGATCTGTTCTGTTTAAATTGAAAGATCATGTCATTACTGTTCTGCATATAAGCAATTTGTCTCAGAACAATCCCTTCTGCTTCCATGTACTGAATCCACAGTAGCTGAACAAGATACTACAAACATGCAGTAATCTATATTTGACATATACATTAACTAGAACACAGAAAACTGTATTTGCCTTACAAACTCTTTGTAGAAAGAAAAACAATGCCAATCCTTCTACACCATATCAATGAAACAAACCACAAATAACAAAAAAGTGGAACTTTGGGAAAGTAGTACCAATGAAGAAAACAAAATGCAGCTTAGCTGAGCCATAACTTTATCAAGAACAGTTAAAGTACATAATGTGCTAGAAGAATAATGAGGTCCAATATATCCCATAGCATGTACAAAGAACATATGTATTATTTTTCAATCTAGTCATGTTCTTAAGGTTCTGGTTTAGTTTATTCAATGTTGCTTTGAAGGCTAATGGTCCAATTTTATTATGCTAATGACTCAGTTTAGAATACGGTTGACTTCTGCTCCTTAATTTGAATACAGTTCAATTTAAAAAAGCTAATTTTCTTTTACTGTGTATGTGTTCATCTGTAACAATAATGACAGGTGGAATGAGCACAGTTTTGGGAATGGCTTTGTTAACAGCCAGTTCTTGAAAGGGAGCAAAATGAATATGTGAGCACAAAACATTTATGTGTCTACAGCTAGCAAAACTGATGTTTTTTCTTTATGAAATCCTCACTGATCCTTAACTACATAAGATTATGCATTATGCAATACTGCTTAATAATTAAACAGTCTTCTATTACAAATATCAGAATTTTTTCCCATGCAAGATCTTCTTCCTCCCAGAAAAAGTACAGGTACTACCTTTACTAAAAATGATAAAACACCTTCTAATCCACAATAATATTTACTACAATATAATGTGGAGTAAAATCAACAGTACTGTCATTAGGACATTTTCACTGGACTTTAATAAATACACAAAGAATATACTTTTATACTGCAACACTGTATTAATTTACTTTCATTCAGAACATCAAAGTACTAATAAACAAATTCACAAGTCTCCCAAATCCACAGTCTAATGTCAAGAATCTTTATTTAAAAGTATTAAAAAGCAAATAAATCCAGAAGTAAAGTTCTGTCAGGAGTGTCAAGCACTGCTAGGAAAATTTCATATAAAAACACAGAACATAGGAAAATTTCTGTATGTTACTCTTGTGAAAATTACTTTCACTTGCTGCAACCAGTAATTGAAGCTATGGTTTTATGAAGCTATTTCTGACATACACAAACAAACATTTGGCAGATTTCTGGAAGGCAAAGGATATCTTAAGGTGCCAGATTTTTCCTTTGCTTGTAACTCATATTGTAATATCATGTGGCTAACATGCATGGAAATAAAATTAAATGTGTTAAAACTGGCAAAAAAAAGTGTGAAATTCAAAACTGAACACCGGATACATTACCTTTCAAATAATAACGTAATGATAGGAATAAGCCTTTGGTTGAATGCCTTATTTTTCTGTGTTTTTGGTGCTAACTAAATAAACTATTTTAAAACAGTTTCAGAAAATAAAATTTATTTTAACAAAATCCCAGAGACTGACTTACTGTACATAATATTAATGAAATAGTTACACACAACACTCATTATGCTGTCTGAAGGTAAGGCTGCCCCAGTTTATTTGTAGCACTGTTATCAATTATTTATAGCTTTGTCAAATGGTAGCCATAAAGCTGGATTTTCCACGTTAGGTGTCTGCCTGAAGCTAATATTTTGGGAAAGCTATTGTAAAGATTACTTAGCCACTTTTGAGAACAAGGGGGTGGAAGAAAACATGCTTTCTGTACTTATCATTTCAATTAAGAGAAATAACCCCTAAATTCTTGCCTGGACTCAAACTGCTAATGCATTTATTCCTTTATTGTGTCCCCTGCAGCCTCCTGTTGCCCTTATCTGGCTCTTCAGTCCCATTCTGATGTCCCTCTGCACCAGGAATTCATATCCCATAGTTGTAACCCCTTGCCCCATACTTGCATCTCTCTGGCACTACCTCCCAATCTTCTCTCCAAGACGTTCCCAGTTTCAGCTTCAAACTTCCTCACTGTATAGTTCATGGTCTCTAGTCAATCCTGTAAAAGTGCAATGCTGTAGGCAACACTGGCCATGGAAGATACGAACTCAAATAGTTAAAGTCTGTCAATGTTATAAACAAAAGAAGCAACAAAAAAAAAAAGTGTTAGAAGTGCTGACCACCCTTAATAACGGTGACCGTAAGAGGAAATTTCACAAAAGGGCTACATACTTTTTAATCAGGCATATGTATCAAGAGATCAAGCTCAACTGTTTGATTTGTTCATTAGGCAATTGTCAAACATTAAACTGGATTAAACATAAAAGTGGCTTTATTTAAATTAACATTCATAGGTGTTTAAAGTGCCAAAATGTCATCAAAGCATTATAACTATTCTTTCTGCAAAGTAAATATTTAAAATATTCTTTATCAAAGATTAAAGTATTAGAAACATTTTTAAACACGTGCTTGGAGTATTTGTGCAGAGTTTTAACAGTAGTGCTAAACAGAAGGATTTCAAGCTGATGGAAAAGGACATTTAACTCAATAAACTATTTAAAAATCCTGTGGTTAGAAGATCCATAACATTATTGAAAAACAAATCTTTACCAGGCAATGTGAATGAACACTAGGAAGATCAGAGAATTTCTCATAAAGCAGTAATAACCTAGAATTCAGTAGTAGTGTTACTACATAGTAATAACCTAGACCTTGCAATTTGCTTAAGGATGCTGAAATACTAAGCTGTGAAACTGACACAATTGTTTCATTCAGTTTCAGCTCCAAGCTGAGTTTCTTGCCTTGGAACCTCATTAACCTTTGTGCTTGCATCCCAACGTAATGAATCCATATGCTCTCTAGATTTTCCTCAGAGCTACAGCATGCCCAGAAAATCTGTTTGTTTGGGGCTTTTGATTATTATTTATTTATTGAAGGGAAGACTTTGTGGAAAAAGGCTGATACCCCTGGCCCCATAGCCATAACCCATACCATACCATAACCCCCATAACCCATACTTTCACATAAATAAGACGATTCTCAGGGCTTAAGGGCATTCTCTTGTCTAGTGTAAGGAAGTACTGATTATAACTTAACTTCTGCAGCCTAGAGCACTATATTTAAATACTCACAATTTTTTTTTTTTATTTTTAAGGAGTCCAAACTCCTCCAGTACTCTGGACTCCTATTTTTAAGGGAGAATTAAAAAGGTAATACTTTTGCCATCATCTATTAACTTTAAAACATTTTCTTTTCCTCATTCTGCTGCACTGCTTTTCTCCAGCTGTAGATGTTGCTAAAAGATGCACAATGCAAGGTTCTATTGAAACACTGTTTTACCATTCCCTCCCCCCACCCCTCTCTGTCAGCTTTGAGAAATGGACTCGAAAATCCATTCACTCTTCACATACTGTTCTTTCTACTAGTTGGTACTATACAAGTTTCCTGGAATTCTGCAACACAAATGCAGAATACAGATTATATATTGCAATGAAAGTGGTGACACTTAATGTATTTTACTATGGCTATACTGTGACCATTTAGGAACTTTTTCATATTTGAAATTAAATTTTAATTTTTTTTCCATTACTATAAAATCTAGTTGGATGTTCTAGGGCTACTGCTAGGTGACCTTTATGTGTACTCTAGGACTTCTATTTCAACTGCATTAATAAATCAAACATGTCATTTTAAGGTTTCCATGGTGGCATCCTGACAAAAGCATCCACAAATCCAACAACAGAACCGCATAAAGCATACCTATGTTACTGTAAAAACATCTCCAAGAGTTACAGTATGGTTTTGAAGAATCACAAAGAAAATAACACCTTGGAAAAAAACGGTAATTTGTCAAGCTACAGAGACCCAGTTTCACTCTGTTTAAACAGACTTTTTCCACTTGCAAGGGGAGGAAGAAAATGAGCAAGCAGAAAGGAATGCGGAAGGTCCAGTCGTACATTCAAACAATGCTGCTTTTCTTCTTATGATGCACAAAGCAAGAATTGACACTTTTTTCTACTGATTCGTCAAATAAAAATGAATTTGCATAAAATTTTTGTCTTGGTTGTGTAAAGCACTATGGACACCTACACTATGGAGTTAATTTCCAAAACTAAACTTCATAAAGTATTTTTAATTTCATTGCTCACAAAATAAAACTGTGTGAGAAATTCTCTTACTATATGCAAAACATTTCAACAAATAAAAAGATATTCCCAAATTAAAGGCTCCTTATGAATAACGATGTTAAAATTTTGGCTTACTCAGCATTTGTGTCCCTTTTAATTTGCATACAGACATAACTTGTTAATGAAAGCAAGTCTTCACCTATTCACACTACCGCTTGTAATGACCTGCAATGAACAGTAATGATTTGAGTAAATTCTGTCTTCTACTTTCCCTCCTACAACAGTTTCTTTTGCAGCCTTGAGCAAGTCAGTTACGTTTGCCTCCACACTAAAAAAATGAAGAAAGACCCTATTTGTTGCTGCTGCTGAACAATTATCTTTTCTACACGAGACGCATACACAGATTTTTAGCAAAAGCTCTGCAATCTTTGCATAGAAATTCTATTTTTACAATTGTTTAGAATTCCTAATTCATTTCACATAATCAAGTGAGCTTTATAAACATTACCAGATTATGAACCAGACCATTAAAAAGCACTCAATTCAAGCTAAAAATATTTAATTGGGCTATTCATTACATTCACTATAACAAAAGATTTTTCCCACAAGTTGTCTTCTCCACTAAATTTTCAAACTGGTGTGATTTGACTTACAAAGATGTGGTAATGCTTGCAGCTGGAGTTGCATCATAAGTGTCTCTCGCTACAGCTGTACCAGCAGTTAAGAAAAATGCCTTGATAAAGATGGCATGTTGAAAAATAAATTAGTTTGCTAATGCTTCACTTCAAATATAGCTGTGCCTAGATTGAAGTATATTTCAGTGGGTAAGATAGTCAATTCCAGTGTTTAAGTCTGTAGCGCATCTTTAGGTAAGGAAAGCATAATAACAAGAATAAAACAGCAGCTTGGAAATCAGATTGTATCATATTCATTATTTGTTTACAAATATTTGAATTTACTTACATTGTAGTGCTTCTAGAGTATTAACAGCTAAACAGTATTTTATCAGGAAACCACAAAGAAATTATAATTGGCACCCAGGCTTTTAGACACTTTTGTTTACTTTTAACAAACTAAAGGCTAAAAATAGACAGGGATAGATGTTTGGTACCCATTCTCACTAAAAAAAATGGTGATGATGTATTTAATTACTTTTTTTTAAACCGTAATGGTGCCCAGGAGATATAAATTATATGAGATTATACTGTGGAGAACCACTTATCACACTTCTTTGATTCTCCATTCCATATGCAAACGAATGACTTTATAAAAGAATCATAAAAAGGCTGAAGGATCCCTTGCAGGTTACCTGGTCCAATTCCTCACTCATAGCAGTGCTAACACAGATCATGCAGCTCTAGGCACAGAAGGGCTGAGGTTGGAAGGGACCTCTTGAGATTATCTAGTCCAACCCCCCATTCAAGCAGGGTCAGCTAGAGCCAGTTGCCCAAGGACTGTGTCCAGTCAGGTCTTGAATATCCCAAGGATGAAGATTCCAAAAATTCTCTTGGACTCTCTTTTCAGTATGTGACCACATTTCACGATTAATATTTTTTCCCTAATAATTAATTCACATTTTCCTTGTTGCAACCTGTGTGCATTGCCTGTTGTCCTACCGCTATGCACATCCATTAAGATTCTGGTTTAGATCTTCTCTACACTCTCCCATTAGGGACAGTTTAAGACAGCTGTAAGAACTCTCTTTAGACTCACTTCATTTCACTTTGTATGCCACGTTCTCCAGTTCACATTTGGAAGACAACAGAAAACTCTCATACTTCAAGCAATGTACTATCTTCTAACAGGTGGGCTTGGAAGGAGTAAGACTGACTACCTTCTACTTCCTTATACTTTGCTCACTGTCTGATAAAGGTAGTAAGCCAGACAGTTTTTATTCATTATATTATTCATTTTTTATCTTCTGCTGTACATTTGTCTTCTGCTAAAGAATCAGCTAGTGGCTGCCAAGTGGAATAGGATGCTATACCTTACTGGAAGGACCATCAGTTCAATCCTATAAATAGTAGGTCATGCCAATCCTCTTTTTTCTTCACAGATGAACAGGAAAGAAGCTTCAAAATATGAGACTGCATGATGAAGAGACTGAGAAGCAGAAGAGAAACTAGTTTTCTAATGTTTTGACATCTTTAAAATAAAACCAATGTTCAGAAAATTATAAGCCTATTCCTAACATACTTGAAATTACAGATTCAGACTTCAAAATTTCCACTAAAGACCCAGACACAGACCCCAAACATAAATGAATGGAAACAAACAAATACTTGTGTGTGTGTGTGCACGCATGTAAATATATAGAACATATGATCATAAAACTTCATGTAGCCACCTCTACAACTACCTAACAAGCTGGATTTCTCTCTTTTGTATTGCAGATGTGTTTATTGATTCTTTTTATTAGAAAAAATCGTACTATTAAATTCAAGCTTAAGGTAAGAGACAAATGAACATCAACTTAAGTGACATTTATTCAAGACTCAAACTCTTGCAAGCTAACTCAGAGGACAGTTTCAAATATTTTAACGTTCTTAGTTGTTTCAGTAAGTACGTGAAGAATTATACATAGAGGTTATTGTAATTGTGCAGAATTAGTCAGATTTAATTTGGATAATGAAAAGATCCGTTCCAAAGACATCCTATTCCTATAAGAGATTCACATTTAAAATTTGCATTTCAAGAGTCTCTGCTGACTGGGGAGGAAAATGAAGAGACCCCTTATTAATGAAACTGATCGCTATCAAAAGCAACCAGTGAAATGAAAAAAGAATTAAAAATTCTTAAAGCATTAACCATAGAAAAATGGCAAACTTGGAAAAATGGGTGAAAATATTTTGAAAGTTAATTTAACAATTACATAGCAATTTTATTTTGATATATTTCAGAATGCATTTTTTTTGCATGTCTTTTGCTTTTATGAAAAATTGAAAAGCCATGGTCAGTTTATACAAAGAACAGCAGTACTATCACCTGTTTCAGCAGTTTAACAAAAAAAGTTTTGTAAGTGATTTCCTTCTCATGTGTATCTGTGAAGCCTCTGGATCTGTACTTTAGAAATAGGTTGACAAGGTTTAGAAATAATATGGCAGCTCTGTTTTCATTGTTTAGTTATTTTTAGTAAAAACACACATAATGACATAAGAAATTGGAGCTGTCTTTCTCAGAGTAGGTTAGGATGTGATCACTGTGCTCTTGTAAGACAGTCTGCTTAGTATGTGTTCTGTTACTTCATGGAGAAGCTAGCTTGCATGCTCACAGTGATGGTGTCTGTCTTAAAAAAGCTCTAAATGAGCAAGGTTTGTATGCCCCTAACATTTCTTACTGAAGAGCTAAGATTTTAAAATTAGCAGCAAGAGTTTAGACATGCCTGAATGTATTAAATAGAAGATAGTAAAAGTTACAGCTTGGGAAGTTCTAAACAACCTGTTCTGATAAAAAATCATTTTGGTAAGTGGGTGTCCTTGGAAATTGGCACTTTTTATCTAATGATTAAGGAGGTAACCTTGAGGAATCCTGTAACAGAAAGTCAAGTAGCCAGAAGAACACATGGAATAACTAAAAACATGAGGAAAAGAGGGATGAGTGAGAAAGCAGCAGGAAATTTTATTAAAAAGCATAGGTCCTAAACCTATTTTGAAAACCACATTATTATACAGGGAGGAGCGGGCTGTCTCACAATCAGATGTTAGCTTTGAAGCTGAATTCACCATTTTCGACTCCTATTTAATTCCTGAGAGAAGATAAACTGGCAAAGGGATCATAAGTTTACAGAACAGATTTAAAAGAAAAACTCTGGGTAGTGTTAAAAGAAATGCATGGTTCTGGCCCAAAGGTGGCAATGCCTTCTTAGAAAGCAACTGTATTCAAACTAATAATCTCCACTACAGAGTAAAGAAAAAAAAATTATCAAATAAGTCAATCACATAGTGAGGTCCAATAAAAATAACAGCAGGAGAAACAGAAAAGAAAAAGCAGAAAGCGGCCCATCCCGAACAGAACATTAAACCGGGAAGCAGTGCTTCCTGTGGAGTGCTCCCTGAAGAACTGTGCATACCACCATTCCAGTCTTGGCCCAGCCCTCCACTCTTCTAAAAAGAAACGGGAAACACATACCAAAGCTCTCTCCTTCCATTCCAATAGGCCCAGGCTGAGGAGTCTCTCCATTCTTCAAGCAGTTATGAATGTATGCTGCCTTCCACCTGGCATACTTCCTGTGCTGGGCGTTCTGGGGAAAGGAGAAGGCCAGCCACTTTAACCACTCACTTCTGTGAATTCATGCATTCAAAACAGACATATAAGCACATTTTCCACCCTGAGAAGAGATTATAAAACTAAACTGTTTTCTCTGCTATGACCTGACACCCCTTTAAAGATAAACAACACATGCGAAATTAATCAGTGAATTAAAAAAAATATAAAAAGAACAACTCTAACAGGATCTCAGCATGAATGGAAAATGTGGAGAACTTCAAACAGTGCAGCATGTCAGGAAAAGGAAATAAATTATACCAGGATCATCTAGTGTGAAAGATGGAGCACTGTGTAGTAACATATTTCATGGAACAAGGCTAAATATAAGCAGAGATTAGGGATGAGTTGAAGAATGAGTGGAATAATTTGTTCAAGTGAACAATGAAGGTTGATAGCACGTTTCACATCAACATCATCATCTCCAAGGTACTGGTGAACTCAAATTTCCACAGTGACGATCACAGGTAAAGTGTTTTGGAAACTGAGGTAGACAGAATAATCTCTCTTTAAAAGTCCTGACTGAAATTACAACCAAATTTTTTGAGAATTAATAAACTGAAATTCAAAATTGTACTCTACAAAGTCTATTGCACTGTCATCTAGAACAGGGTAGAGAGCAACAGCAAAATGAACATCAAGCTCCCTTGCTTGTATTTAATACACTGTTATCCACCAGGACATTCACACAGCCCAGGAGAAAGATATGGTCCTTGTTCTCACAAATAAAATGTTCTCCAGAAAAAAGCCTATCCTGATGACAGATTTATTAAAATGCATTCCCTATACCTCAGAAATGAAAAGTACAACTTGAAAATGTGGCTTTCTGTTAAACGTTCTTTTAATAATCTTTCCCAGACAGGTAGTGTTACAGATTAAATTATCTTATCATTCACAAATACACTAGAAGCCACAAAATGCAGAAATACACATCCATACTTTTAGAAAAGAACATGACATGAGATTCAACAGCCTGTACATCTCCCCTCTGTACTAATACACAATTATTTCCTGATAAAGTGTGAAGATGCTGTTGTATTGGGTTTCTGTGCCCAGGTGCTGGCAACGGTGGGCAGCAGGGGTGGCATTTGTAAGGAGAGGCCAGGGCACAGACAGCTCCAGTGGACCCAGTGCAGGATGCAGCTGAGCCCCTCAGCCAGGCTGGTGGCATCTCTGGGAAAGCATATCTAAGAATGAGCCAAAAAAACTCCCACCAAAATGCTGGACAGACAGAGAAGGGAACAAAGAGTGTTTGATGTGTGTCATTATGCATACCAACTGCAAAGCTTATCGTTCCAGAACTGAGAACCTAGATTTTGTTGCTTCTACTTTGTTTTTAATATGTACTGCCATCCTTTTTTGGAAGTCTGCCTTACTGTACGGACACCACTACTAAGGTAAATGAAAATAACACTACTATCACAAAGCTTTGTATGGCTCTGACATAAGCTATGTCCTGCAAGACATCTTCCAGAAAATCCTTTTGTCTACATCTAATATTGAGATATGGAACACCCACTGTTTCCTGTGACACAATCCATTCATACTACCCAATAATCAACTACTTACCAATTAAAAATACACATATTATTTACAATACTAATTTTCTGCTTTTAGGTGTCAAGTATATGCCTTCTATGCCTTCTACTGCTTATTTAAAAGCCTTTTAATAGTTGATATTCCATACATATCAAGGCAATTACATACTGAAAAGACACACAGATGGTCTGAATAATATGAATGGACAGAAAATCTGTATGTCACTATATAACCATAAGCTGAGCTTAATTCAGGCTAAGAAAAGCTTCTGCAAAAGTCTGACAGTCACGTCATACTTGTCCCATCATTCCTTCATGTGACACTGGACAAGGAAACTGTTGATATGTAATAATGCTATCCAGACGTGCAAACCTTTTTCTGTATTTCTTGTATACCCTCTTTTAACATCTTCATTGATTAAACAATCAAAACGAGATAATTCTGCTTCTTTCCAACTACAAAGTGCTTCTGCCCTTTCAGCATCAACAAATAACCCCCTACATTCAGTAGTAAACATACCACTGCCATCATTCCACACTGACATTTACAACAATTTTTTCCATCTTCAGGACCTCTGAGGAGTCACTGAATCGGTGCACTGTCCCATGCACTGGATTCCTAGTCTAAGATGATCGTCTTTTCAGTCCAATTCAATGTGCATTCAGTCTCTGTCTCTAGGAACCGTTATTATTCGATACTGTAAAAGAATGTCAGGGTGCATAGCAGAGAGTTTTAAGAGAACACATGAAAGAGCAACCTTATTTGCACCTCTCAATAGATGAAAATTGTAGGCTGGTATAGTCTCAGGCTATGGAAGATGCAGAATCTTGCAAGAACTCTTGGCTGAGTCTTCTTCTTGGGCAAGACCTACCTTTAATAGCTATACCTCTACTCCTATATGTCACAGTACACAAGTGCACAACTACCAAAACCATTCTTTTACCTTCCTTCCAATATTTACAAATGACAGTAGTCATGGCGTCTGCATTTTAAACTGAACAAATATGCCTGCCTGTCAGGCATGCTTATCAGATCGTCGATTTGCATACAGGATGTCAAGCCTGTGAATTCCAAGCAGGGCATGAAACAGTTTGGGACCAACACAACCACAGGCTTGCAAAGCAGCAGAACTTTGGGTTCTAAGGCACTTTTACTAGTTTAAGAGTGGAAGCCTATAACACTCAAGCACATGAGAAAAAAAAATATTTGTAGATTATCTGTGTGGATTTAGGTGTCCTGAGACATATTCAGCACTTATGTGATCAGCCCTTGCTGATTTTGTCTCAGATTGTTTAGGGTCGCTGCTGTTTATTTACTTTTCCAGGTATTTCAACCTTCCTTCAACAATCTCTGAAACCTTTCTTTGTGAGTCCGTAGCAGCTTTCTCTAATTTTTTTTCTCTTTTCCAGAAGTTATCAAATATACTACGACATTTTCAAAATGAGCTTCTCATTGAGTTAATTTAGCAAGGAAACCCCATTTTTAATTTTCAGAATAAGGAATACTTTATTAAGAGTACCTGCTCCTCTGTATCTAATTATTCTGTGGGGCATGAATAAGAGAGAGCAAGCAGCTGACTATGCACCTAATAGAAAAGTTCATTTTAAAACAGACCAAGAGATTATTCTGGTGTGCCTTAAGAAAAGTAATCATGATTGTGTTCAGACAATTCTGGAATGCTTATTTGATTTAAAAAATTATCTGCCATAAAGATCACTGTGTTAGTTACTTTAATTAAAACATTCATGTCCTAATGGCTAGATAGCAAGCCAATTTTATGAAGTAAATTAATATTCTTCAAACTTAACATATCATCTTTTAAAAGCGGGGTTTGTTACAAAACCGAAACTATCTGTTCTAACCAAAACTGTCCAGATTCCCCCTCAGTTACTAGCACTAAAGTTCTTACTTGCAGGGTGAAAAAGGTAAAGGTGGAAAAAGCTAGGAACCATCCTGTTTCCCCATAATCATTCCTACTTGCTCAACGTAATGTTGTATGTCCCCAAGTAATAATCAGACTTCACATTTCTGATCCTTAAGTCATGAAACACCTTCTAATAGAGTTATTTAATATTTCACATATAATTTATTTGAAATACTTAGCACAATTCCTTATGACTTACTTACACGTATTTGACATGTATTATTCACGCAATAAGAACCTACGTTCTTTGAAGTTCATATTCACAAATTATAAAAACAACTTTACAGAATTAAAACAGTAATTTGCAGCTGTGCTAGAACAAGCAAACAAATAATACACTGATATCCCTAAGACTTACCTCTTCAGAGAGCTCTCCAAATACTGTTAGAACGTCTATCAGAAGACTTGCAGTATAAAAGGACTTTATCATGTTTCTGTAAAAAAGAAAACATTTCACTAACTTGGTAATATCAGTCTCTCAGGATCACACTTTAGAAGATGGCATTTTAGATCATGCTGGCTTATTTCAAGCCAATCGTCACTACTTCTTTTTTCTTTTAATCTGGCATTACAGAACTTACTTCACAATGTTTAAATCTACTAATATATTAGCTAGTCTCCTAACTACTATGCAGGAAGTTTTCAAGTATTTTTTAAAGCTTGTAATCTGTTCTGCACTTAGTTTCTAGTTTGGAATGTTCAATAGAAGACATAGGACATCCTATAATATCTTAGAAAAAGCCTACCAAACTCATCAGCATGATACAGTAATTGCTGTAATTCAAACCACATAACATATCATCGCAACTATTTTAATATCACTGGACAGTAAAAACTATAGCATGCTTGATGCCAAGCTCAATATTAGCCTGGGGTTTTAGAAGGCTTGCCTGTAGGTGACCAACTTCCTAAGGAACACAAGGAGGAGGATACCAGTTAATGTGTGAAGTTAGAGACAGAACAGTAATACATCAAGTTTTCTAAAAGAGAAATGAATGCATTAAAGCACAATTGTTTCCAGACAAATTAAAGAGAGTTTGAATATGCAAATTTCCTGATCAGTAACTTAATTCAGATAACAAAACCAAAGATTTTCACCTACTTATGAAATTGCCCAGCTCTGTCTTCATTGTCTGCATATAAAAACATTTTCAAAGCATAATTCTCCACATGAGCAGAACCAACAATTTCCTGAGTAATTGCTTCGTTATCACCAAATTGCTTTTTCATCTGAAAAAAGTTGGAAAAAATACATTCATTACCTTATTAGACCCTAACAATTCTGCCATCTAATTCCAACACAAGAAGTAGCTGCTGACTTGAAGGAAGTAAATTTAAAAAAAAAACCCCAACATACACTTTAATTATTTTACCAACCTCCAGTTTCTAACATAACAAATGCTAAAAGTACCACACTTAAAGAGAAAGCACATTCTTTTGGAGGGAGAAATATTAAGAACAGGTAGCTCTGAACACCACCTTCAATCACAAAATACTTTAAAAAACCCCAAACCAAAGCAAAAAACATTAATAATAAACACAACTACAATATTGTGAAGGAATAGCTACAGGTATTTTTTCCCTTACTATCCAAAAGACCAAGCATTCTGAAGCCTGTGTCAGGTTTCAACGCAGTTCAATTGATAAAGTAATGCATGCTTTATAAAGGTATTGTAGGTCAGAGTGATCATGTATCTTCTCTCTTGTAAGGTTATTTCACTGCAGCTCATTACTCCTTTCAAAGTGTATGAGCCCTACCTTGACTGGTCTAGTGACCTAGGGAATTTTCAGTGTAAGCAGTGTACTGCAATTCAAAGACCTCTTTTCAAAGACGTTAAGAGTACAAGAATCCTCAGGTTTCCTAATACAAATCAGTAAAGCAAATAACCCTCTAACAGTTACAACAGGTGGATTTACAGCTTCTGAATAGGCTTACTGTTCACACACAAGGAAATCTCAGGTTATCCTTGGAGAACAAAAACAGGAACACTGCATGACACTAACCTGCAGTCTTTATTTTGCCAAAAGATTTAAAAACAACCTCTGAATAGCAGTTATTTTTCATTGTGCGTCTGAAAAAATTTAATCATGCAGGCTGCATTTCCATAGCATTTCCATATTTTTTAGACTGCTGCCATCTTCTTAATACACAGAATGTTGCCAGAAAAGTTACTTGATTTCAGCAGTGAAATGTAAACTTTCCAAGCAGAACTTTAAATTTTAAGAGTTTTGTCAAACTCACACTCTACATAGTTTTGAAAAAGTAGTTATGTTTTACAAAGTAACTGCTTTTCCTGTGAGTGTACCACATTTTGTAAGTAGCAAGATACATAACTGAAATGAAACACTGAAGTTAACTGAGGAAGGAAATGATTTGTTTATATGTATATTTCACCAGTCTATCTATAAACCTTACATTCATTCAGAAAATAACTTATTACTATACTTGATTTGATGTTCAATGGAGATGATTTCAAATACACAAATGACACTCAGTTACATATGCTTCTGAAAATATTAAAGTTAACCAAGATGTTTACTTTTGAAATTATCCTTCACACAATCTGTGATTCAGTACAGCAGCACTGATGTTTTAAATGATGATTCATAATTTGAACGTAAAATCAAGCAAATTTGGTTTAATTTTACTAAAAACATTTAAATTAAACAGTTACCTATTGGAAGCACAAAACAAAAACAACTGAATCATATGTTAAAAATACTTCTGACAGTAACATGCATTTTGGATATAAAATCATTGCATTTAATTAATTCATATATTTGGAATATTATGAAATTTCTTGCAAAGAACACATCTGGTATCTTCTAGGTATAGGTACACTGTTTTATTCTTTGCTTAGGGTTGTTTGTAAGCTTCTGTCTCAACCTCTAAATAATGAGTTATGTCAACACACAGAAAGCTGTGAGAAACGTTCAGCACAGACTTGCAGCACCCCTTTGTGCCCTCTGCTGGTTAAGGGCAGACTGACACAGCTGCTATTGAATTAATGCAGAGGTCCAACTTCTCAGTACACCCAGGCTTGCCAGACCCAAAAAATGCTGCATTGTATCTGCTTAGAAGTGCTCTTTCCATCCTTCTACCACTTGGCTACGTAGAAGGAACCTCAATAAATGAGCATCAGTTGTCACACTGACAATCTCATCAGCAACTGAAAGATAAAACCATGGGTCTTTGCTGGTTCTCTAGTGTTTCCAGATTTGAAACAAAAGAGGTAACTGAACGCTACAGACAGATCAGTTGCTGCAATACTACACGGGACTGAATAAATTTTAACAATTCTTCAGGAAAGAAGAGGAACATCTTTCAGAGTTTTAATCTCATCTCTCCTGACACCTCCCTTCCCTTTTGAGCATGAAAATCAGACCCATTAAAGATGTTAAAATTTGATGAAATAACACATCAAGAAGTCACTGTACACTGGATTTTCCACTGCTAAAAAATCAGAGATAAAACATGGCAAGAAGCACAAGGTATGAACAAAGGACAAATGTTTCATGTTTCTTTTTTTTTTTTTTTTTAATTGAGAATTGAAGGCTGTTGCACTAGTTTCACAAAAACTCTTCAGGCATTGCTATGGCTAGATTTTGGATGGAATCATTAATAGTAAACACAAAAAGAACCATTGCTTCATTTTTCAATGTTACTTTCTGCTTCCAAGTGAGCACTTAGACCTTAAAATCCACACACTACTTCCTTCAAGACTACTGAAAACTACAGCATACGAACATAAACAGCTCCTGGAACTTAAACTGACCATCGGTACCTTCTTTACCTTTCTTTGTCTAACTCTATTCTATTTAAGATTGTTTGCTTTTTTAATACTATCAGGTCCACTCGAAAGAGCGTGGCATAGCTATCTCTTACCCACACAGATAAGACTGTGCTTACAAAAATTCCTAGTAGAAGATCCCCAATTTCTAACAGAGGATACAATCAAAAGTCTCTGTCTTTCAGAGAATGTTTTAAAAAACTCCCTGGGTACAACAGATAGGGTCAAAAATTTCAAAAGCACCAAGGACTAGGCTAGCTAGTTCTATAGCAGTGAAAATAACTCTCACAAACTTCAAGGAATCAAAGACAAATCAATAAAAAAGTCTTCTAGTATTCCTGCATTTATTTTGTAATGAATTATGATTTCTCCTGAGAATATAAATATTGTAATTCAGGTTGTCTAGACAAAGCCTTATGGCAAATGTCTGCTGTATGAAATTTAAGTTATATTTGTGCATGCATACATACATATAAACATACATATTCATATAGCTTTATCTCCTTTCAATCCTTCTGCCAATTTATTGCATACAACTTAAATTCATACAGTATGCCTGCATACAGAACAGCTGCATCAATGACTAATGACACAGGAAAGATTGCATTTGCAGAAGCTTAAATAAAAATTAAAGTAACATCATGAATCATTTTAGAAAAGAGCAATAAATTCTACTTACAGCTTCCAACTGATCCATAAGTTTGGATAAAAATTTACGGCATTCTGGGGTTTTACTATCAATCTTCATCCCTGTTTGCATTGCATACAAACGACCTTTGAAGGGGACAAAACACACAAAAACACCAGAAGTTATTGTGTAGGGCAAAACCCCTAAGCAGCAAAGCAATACCCCCCCCAACACATCTGAAAGACAAACTCATCCTGTGGTTTTGCAATGTACTACTACAGTACTGGTGATCAATGACAGCAAAACCTAGCTTGTGTTCAGTCTTGCAGAGATACTAGATCTTTTTCTAAGATTCATGCTTTATTTTTCTCAGTGAGTATTTCTGCTGATTTCAGATTGATGCTTGTATCACCATGATGCAATATTAAGTGCTTTTGTAAATAATCACCATACTTGTTTGCAAATCTCTCAAATAGGATCTTCCAAGTTGATTTTTAGCCCTAATAATACATGAGTAATTTTCATATGACTCACATATATGTATAGAGTGTATGGATATATCTCAAAAATGGAACTTCATATAGCGGGAACTATCCAGCTTTAAAACTCCACTTGAACATTTTTCACAAAAAACCCCATTCCACTAGTTCTCACTCCTGACCCTTAAAGGAGTCCTACACAACACCTTCAAATGCAGAGCTTAAGAACTAAAAGCTGTAACTCTACCAAATACTATCATCAACTAGTTATAATGGCATACCCTAATGCCCTTCTTCCTGCAGGACTCAGTTCTGCAAGGGATCCTTACTTGCTTCTCAGCTTTACCATCTCTCTCCTGCCAAGCATCTTTTCATGCACTAGATAGCCTTTTCCCTTCAAATTATCTCAGTAAACACAAATACAACACAGTTGTTTCCAAACTGCACTTATCCTGATGTTTGCTGCAGAAGAAAGCATTATATGCTTGAAAGGTTGTCTGCCTTTTCTATCAATTATCAGTCTAATAAAATTAGATCTCTCTCTACAAAACTCCCCTAGCTTCTGCTGGCGAGCATCACGATTTAACTCATTTTTCTGGATTTTAAAAGTAGTATCCATGTCTCACGTATAATCAATTATTCAAACCAAAGAGTACATTCCTTATTTGGGACTGCAAAGCTGATGAAGTTTTCAATGTTAAAACTGTTGGGCTGCCCAACCATTTCAAGACACCCCCGTAAAAAAAACTAAAGTACTTGTGCCTTCCAATGGCTCTCTACTTCTACATTTACAATTTATAAAACAATCTAGCTCCTTTGTATTCAAGTTTTCAGTAAAGAACAACTAAGTAAAAGTCTACTCTGAGAAAAACTTCAGGAATTAATAAAGACTATGAACAACTACGACAACTGACCATGACAAACAAAAGACAGTAATTTCAACAAAAATTGCCATGTACGTTCTATGCTATGTAGGTTTCATCAAGAGATAACACTAATATTAAGGTAATTACTGATACGTACTCTTAAGCCCACCTTATTTATCTTCAGGATGATGACGTTAATATTAAAAATTACAAAACGAGCACATGTAAACTGGAAATTACATTCAAAGAAATCACAGAAACACAGAAACATAAAGAGATTTGTATCTAAAGCACTCAAATAAATTTAAGTCTACTGCTAACTAAAGTACCACCATCACATGATGAGGAGCTATTACTTAGTCTTCAATTAAACTGATTTTTAAGTACATTACTTGACTGTAAGCTTTCCTGAACACACTTCACGGTATCATTTAATAATGTAAAACTTAGGTATTAGCATAATGGCTGCTAGACCTACAGGCCGTCTAGATCAGTTATTTCTTTTTGACAGATGTAAACATCAGATATTTTCAGAGGTAAGTAAATAGATTTTAGACTGACATGAGTTAGGGTGACACAAATTCAGAATACCATTGGTCATTACTGGATATAGATTTATCTTACATGCTGAAATACACATCTTCATATCTCTTCCAAAATTTATTTGCACAAAACCAACTGTTTCCATATAAATGCAAATCTCGGCAAATGTCTTTAGTCTTGAAGGTTAGTTTAATCATGAAAAGATTGGCTTGTTATCTGCTTAATTGTTACTCTTCTGTTACCTGTATGTGGCTTTTTTTTCACATTCATTGCAAATACATTAAGTTGTGAAAGCAAGATAATTTTTTTCCTCAATAATATCCCAAGGGATGTATTTACAGGACTGTGACATCTGTAGGTTTTGTAGGCATCTCTAAAAAGCCAGCCCTCTCCCCTCTTAGGATTTCAGAGACTGAGAAAAACTCGAAGACTCCTTCAGGCATTCCAATAAACAAACACAGAAGAGTGAGTCTTGAACACCCAGAGAACACAGGTCAAAGTATCGTAGTTACAGGTAAGAAACACGTTTTTCTCATCTGTATATAAATTTACACTGTGGATGACATTAAGCCATGTTCCATGCCAACAGCACTTTCCTGCTAACAAAAGACTCTGGGACCAATGTGCCCAAGAGTCCTCAGGTCATTCAAGATCAAAGGACTATTATCCAAAGCATACAGACTGTCAAGAAAACATCAAGGTGCTCTAGCAGCATCTCTACAGCTATTAAGAACAGAGACATCCTACAGACTATTAATGTCACCTGAACTACGATTAAATGTATTGCACCTCTCACAGCAATTACACCTCTGTACTACACAACTGACTATATGAGACAGTTACATCTAGCCATCAAACCCCAATTTGTATTACGTACATTGTCTGCATCAATTGGAAAGATTTCCTGCGTGATCACATTAACCAGTAAAAGGTCAAAGCACACTTAAGTTACCCTAACAAGAGTCTACTGAAATATTTAAGAACTTTCAAAGTTCAGAATTTGTGCATACTCCTTCAATTACAGTAATATGTTCAAAAGGATACTGCATAACAACACCTGTCCAGAGAAAGGCCTCTGATGAGGCAATCATTGAGGTAAGGGCAAAACCTATTCCTTCTTTCTCAAGGAAGTGGTGATCAAGAAAGTAAGTTTGTAAAAACTACTATCACCAGAGAATCACAATCTAGTAGCGTTCAACACTGAAAAGGAGTCTTGACTCAAACACCTTTGTTAAAACAACCTGATTGTAATGAAGAGTTCTATGATAAGAACTAGGCAACCTGCAGGTCAGAAAATGCAAACCATACCCTGCCTGTCCAAAATCTCCCAGAACATCAGTTTCAACTGATGAACTGAATATACAGAAGGAAATTATACTCTCCAGTGTTTGACACTCACCAGTGACAAACAAATGTTAAGTATATTTCGGCAAACCTACTGCTTTACTCAGTGCTGCTCCAGTGAAAAGTGGAGCTTGAGGGTTGAAAACCTCTGTCAACAACCATTAAACTTATCATTCAGACAGCAAGTGAAACAGTTGAAAAACTGAAAGAACTAGGGGTTTCTCTGACAAAAGCGAATAGGAAGAAGATGAAATAATTTGATATTGGCCTCTACAGACACTACTGAAATAAAAATAATATTAATGTTTGTATATTGTGCTTTTGAAATTATCTGTATGAAGAGCAATATGTGAGTGAATCTGAAAGTAGTAATCCCTCGCCTTATTACAGACAACAGAAAAAAGTATCTACCAGCTCTACTCTTTGCATTTTTTTTGTATTATTATTAAATCTTATTCCTAAGGCAAAGAAACCTAATTTATTTCCAAACATGCATTTTTCCATGTCTGCATCTTTTGTCCTCCTTCCCTCCACTCTGTCTAATTTTGAAATGTTCCACGTATTCTACATGAAGGCTATCTGTAAGAACACATTTGTTTGTGTTGGTTGTGATACTACTACCTTCACCAATTAAGGTGTCATTAGTCTCTTAGATATCTTTTATTTTTGTGTGTAATTTATCACACAAATATTACTTATGGTAAGGATACGACAGTAACTGAAAGATATGCTTTGATCTAGTGAAGGAAATCTATTACGTCCTTTTCCTGTCTAACTTGCAGCAAATGGGCAAATTCACTTCATTACTGAATTTTCAGCAGCAATGAGCAAAACAATTTTCCTGTGTTACTATCATCAGTAAAAATTTAAACTGGCAATTAATGGTCAAAGAACTGTCCTCCATGTTTATGTTGGCAGGCCATCTCAGTACCAAAGAACTCATAAGCAATAGGCTAAAAGTTTATTGCCTACAACATCTCTCCGAGAAAGCCAAATATAACATAAATTCAGTTCCCCCCCACCCAATACCTGAAAGAAAACAGAGTAATGATTTACATTCCTTTAAATACAGCTATTCTGGTTTCTATAATATTGCAAAAGCAGTGGAATGTATTATTACTGTGGTTTGCTAAGTCACAAAAATTTTGCTTTAATGCAAGTGGTTCAGTTTCTAATAACTAGAAGTTAATCTCCTGAATGGTATGGACACCGCAGAAAGGAATCCTCTTAGTGTTCTGTATGACAATTGCATTATTTCACCTTTGAACAACACTGCACTTGAGATGCCATTTTACATCAAAATTATTTCAGAGTTCTCTACAGAATTTCTCTCTATACACTGAAAAATTTCCTCTATGAAACACCACCCTGCTGAAAATTCTGCTATAAAAATACAACAAAAAGCATACATCGTATCTGCAAAAGTTTTCAAGTTTTTAAAGCCTAAATGAAGTATTTGAAGAATGTAGACAACCTTAGAAATAAGTAACCTCTAATTCTCATCTCTCTTCACTATTTGTGATGAAGATCTGGAATATCTGGAAACAAATAAATGAATGTAATTATTGGTTCTTTGTAAGCTTGTTTCATGCACTTGGCTTCATAACAGATAGAGACTACTTTTTTTGTCCCCTTTATCCAAATCAAGTAGCAAAAAAGATTTCTGTGTGGCCAACAACAGTAGTATATTAGTAAAGCATTAATGAGGTAAAGGAGGCTACAGAGAGCCACTGTCTGAATATTAATTCATATTATAAGTAGAGCTAAAGACACTTGTAGTCTTTTACACACAGAGACACAACTGTTTTGCCAATTATTAACTAAAAGAGTGTTTGCTCTCAGTTTGCAGACAGGACATTTATCTTCAAATTCATAAAGACTTGGCAAGTAATCATTCTCAGAAAAATGTT